ATCAATAGCCTATTCGTTGCCAATACTTTTATAAGAAACATAAACACAAACTATCCACATGGGTTTCACCTGATGATATGCACAAGAATCTGACCGATTACATCTGTAGAACAAATTGTTGGAGAAGCTCAATATCAGCTGTAAAAACTAGGTCAAGTGATAATTGTGGAACAGACTATCAACAACTCATGTGCAAGTTCAAAGTAAAACTAAAGAAGGCTAAAGCAAACCCACAGGAACCAAAATTTGTTCTTACATCTAGCTTACCTGAATTTAAAAATCATCTCAGAACAGGTTTGAGGCCTTGAACATTAATAAACGAAGATCAGCTGTGGGATGATATAAAGAATATCATCCAGGAAGAATGCAAAAGGTCATTACAAAAGCAGAGGAGGAAGAAAAGACAAATATGGATGTCAGAAGAAGACTCTGAATATTGCACTAGAGTGACTAGAAGCCAAAGCAAAGGGGGGAAAAACCAAGAAGTTAAGGAGCTGAATAGAAGATTTCAAAGGACAGCTTAAGAAGACAAAGGAAAATATTATAATGAAATGTGTAAAGAACTGGAATAGGAAAATCAAAAGGGCCAAACTCGCTTAGCATTTCTTAAGCTGAAGAAACTGAAGAACAAATTTGACCTTGAGTTGCAATACTTGAAGATGCTATGGACAGAATATTAAGTGATCTGGAAAAACTTAAAAGAACATAGAAGGAGTACATAGAATCACTGTACCAAAAATAATTGGCTGACAAAGAAGAATTTCATGAAACAGCAAATGATCAAGAGACAATGATGATAAAAGAGGAAGTTCAAGCTGCTCTGAAGGAATTGGTGAAAACAAAGCCCTAGAAATCAATGAAATACCAATCGACATATTTCAACAAACAGAAACTGCCCTGGACATGCTCACCAAGTTGTGCCAAGAAACCTGAAGGACAATTGCCTGTCCCACTGACTGGAAGAGATATATTTGTTTCTATCCTCCCCCAAAAAACTTGACCCAACACAGAGTGGAAATTATAGAACAATAATCACTAATATTACATGCAAGCAAAATCCTGCTAAAGATTGTCCAAAAATTACTGAACTACCAGAGAACTACCAGAAATACAAGATGGGTTTAGAAGAGGCCATGGCTATAGAGACAGTTTTGACAATGTCAGATGGATCTTGGTTGAAATGGAGGCCCCTTCTCTGTTTATTGGGTGATGGTAGCTCAATGGTAAGTTTCTTGCCTCCATGGAGGAGATCTGGGTTTGATTTCAGACAATCCATTTGATACATAGCCATCACACCTCTGTCAGTGAAGGTCTGAAGATTACTACAGTGATGAACAGGTTTACCCCTACACTAAGATAGTGGAGGAATAAAGGCTTACTGGCCTTCACCCGTGTCATTTAGCATGCTAGTAGCATAGTTCCAGCATCAAGCTAGAATAACAAACTGACAGACTGAAACATAGTAGACACTCAATGAATATTGTTGAGTCTGTGAATGAAATAGGGATATGAACCACACTGGAGGTACATATACACAGAGGAACGTGGGATAATCTTCTCACCTCCACTGACAGAGGTGGCTGTATATCAGATGGATTATCTGAAACCAAACCCAGATCTCCTGCACTGAAGGCAAGAAATCTACCACTGAGCTACCATCACCCAATAAACAGAGAATGGTCCTCCATTCTGAAGACTCAGGGAAGGATGAGATGAGCCTTCATTGTGGAATCACAGGCTACATCCATAGTAGTGTAGCATGAGGATTGAGGACTAGTAGAGCGAATGATATTAGAAAAGGGATGCCACGAAAACGACGAGTGTGTGGATTATCAGAATAAAGGGGTTCTTACTGAGCACTTCTAGAAGGCCAGACACTGTTTTAAGGGCTTCCCATCCTGTAATTCATTTGACCTCACAGAAATGTTCTGAGGGAATTATTATTTCCTACTTTATACTCATAGATGTTGAAGCTCGGGATCAGACAGGTCATCTATACCCAAACTTAAAGCTAGAAGCAGTGGAGCCAGTGTCCATACTCTTCACTCATGCATGCCAATGATACGGCTATAATACTTTCAACGGTTGGGTGGCCTTTAATAAACTGTTTGGCTACTACTTTTTTCTTTCAGAAATATTTGACTGAATTTAGCAAGTAAGTATCAAGTGTTGTCCCTTGATTTCCTGACAGCCAATTTCAACGGTGTTGATTATTGATCCAAATAAAATTAAATTACTGACAATTTCAAAACTTTCTCCAACTATAATGATACTGTCTATTGACCCACTGGTGAAGACCTTCATTTTCTTGATATTGAGACAATTTATTTTTCTCTTCTGCAGCAAATGTTTAATGTTCTCCTTTCTTTCAGCAAGCAAGGTTTTGTCATTGCATAAAGCAACTTGTTGATGAGTCTTTCTTCAATCCTGCTGCCACATTCCTCTTCATAAAATCTAGCTTCTTGAGAGATTTTCTCAGCATACAGAC